GTTGCACACTGATTTTACAGATATGAATGCACAGATATTTAGAATTGTTACTTAAAACTCACTATCGTCATAACAGAATGTGCTAAAACATGTAGCAAATGTTAACTACTAGACTTCCCAATGTAATGTAAAAATACATTTCACTTCCATAAGAAAAGGTTTTCAGGATGAAAGAATTTATAGCAAAGTAACACAAAATATTTGTGTGCGTTTTCTGCTCTTTTACATATAAGAAAGTTTTAATTCATAGACTTTAAAAAGATATAATCCTTGCCATATATATAGAACTTGTAATTAAATAAGTTTATGAAATCTCCTGCCAAATAGTTTCAAACAATTGAGACTTGCTATAAAACATAAAATATCCTGTTTTGCGGTTGATCACGGCATCATTATTTTTTAATTAAATTTCTTCTTCAGTTGCACTACAGCCTATTACAGGCCAAGCCTATCTCAACAAATTTCCCCCAACAGATTCGATCAATCGCCATGATCCGCCAGAGATTGGTTTTAAGTCTTGATATCTGCATCTGAGTCTACCCATCTTATGTGAGGTTTTTAGTAAAAGTATATTTATGGGTATCTCTTGGCAAAACTTGGCAGTACATGGATACCAAGTTTATGCAATTCTTTGATTTGTTATTTTGGCTTGTGTAGTGTGTGGCTATTTTTGCGCTACACAAAACCAAAATAACAAGACAAAGAATGGCACAAACTCGGTATCCATATACACATTGACTTATGTTCACTTAAAAGAAAATCCCAGAATTGCACAAAAATGGCATTGTGCACTCCCTTGACTTTATCCATGTACACATCGACCTATTTTCACTTAAAAAAAATATCACAGAATTGCACAAACTAAGCTTTGTGCACCTCCTTCCTTGACTTTGTCCATGTACACATCGAATGATATTCACTTAAAAAGTCAGTCCATGATTCTAACTCTGCAGTTTACTCTCTTTAAAGTATTCTAGATAATTCAACCAATTTTCTAAGATATCCAGATTCCAGCATAGCTTCAAACCACTTTTCAAGGTATATGCTATCATAAGCAGCTTTAAATTCAATACAAAGTTGAAAGATATCAACATTAAGTTCAATAGTTTTTTCTCAAGATTTATATAAGAATGAATCTGATTATTTGAGTTTCCAGCTTGAAATCTGCATTAGTAGCTGTCAGTAATTGTAGATGTACATAGTAACCTATTAGTATATAAAATATGGCAGATTTTAAATACCACATTTAAGAGGGTGGTACCTCGATAGTTGTAACCTTCCAGCCTGTCTCCTTTTTTAAAAATGGAAACCCATGAAGCCTTCTTCCCATGTGTATTAAATTTAGTATATTTAACCTGGGTTTGATCGTGCTGGGTATATCATACCCACCCCCCTCTGTTCTTTCGCTGTTTCTTTCCAACCTTTTTTTTAAAAATGGATGATTTTTCTTGTAGTTGCCCCCAAGGTTATAACCTTGGAAGGGAAGAAAAAGGGAAAGAATTCTAAAAATAGATATCTTGTAATCGCCACTCCAGGGTATGTCACACCCAGCACGATCATTACTGTTACATTTCTGAGTACTGGTAGATGCATTGAAATCGTACTCTCATTATGGCGTGTTTTTGAAGTTATGATGAAGAAATGCAACATTTAAGAAATTTACTTAATACTGTTTCTTCAGGTGAAAAAAGTCTTGAGGAAGGTAAGGAGTTTTTCGATAATGAAGAGGCAGATGATGAAGCAATTTACCGTGAACACGAATCTTCGCCTGAAATAGAATCTGATTTACAGGGCAATCTTTTTTATTCAAAAGAAAGTGTCTATTTCATAGGAAAGAATAATATAACAAAATGAGGCTAATTTTTGGAATATGGTAACAGGTAGTTTGGTGACATTTTGGTAGGTGATAAAGGTTACTACCTAGGATTTTGGGAATAATGTGAGAAGTACTCAGTTCCGATTACGCATTATTTTGTGTGATGGAAATGAGAGATCATGAGATATGCCATGTGACATTAATGGATGAATTACAGTTCTTTGATCGGAAAAGAGGGGGAAATCTGGAAATTTTGTATTTAACTTCATTCTGTGTTGTGTGAAACAGTGTTGGTTAATTTTTGGATCCCATGGCCCTATCTAAAGTGAATTCGAAATGGGTATTTAGTGGGATTGAAAGGGGTAGTAATAAGTGTTTTTTTAAGATTGTGCGAGATAGAAGTAAAGATTGCTTATTAAGTTTTATTAAGCAGTATATTCTACCTGGTACAATAATAATATCTGATTGCTGGAAGTCATATGTCTGTTTGGAGGATGAAGGTTTTCAACATCTTGCTGTGAACCATAAGTATGATTTTAAAGATCCTGAAACAGGTGCACGTACGATTGCTTTTTATTTAGCGGAGGAAATAAGAAAAGTTTATCTGCCACGTAATCAAGATTCTGAAGAAGATTAGGTAAGTTAGTATTTTTAATTATTTGAGAATATTATTTTTATGCATTGTTCTAAATGTAAGGAGTAAATAAATTAATATGGTATTATTGGAAAATTGTTATTAGCAATGATTTAGTTTAAAGTAATTAGGATTGTAAGGTAATTTTTATTAATTTAATGTATGTGCTTATTTATATTTTAAGTAGTGTTTTTTAATTTAATTATATTTTAATTAAATGATAGTTATTTTGTGAATTATATGTTTGTAGCAATTTGGTATATGTTTCAGTGGAAGTAAACGTGCATGGAAATAATTTAAATATTTGACACTAAGTATTTGCACCCATTTTTAATGTTTGCGTTAAATTCGTTGGTGACGTTTATAATAGATAATTTAGAGGTAAAAGTTTTTGGATATTTTGTTTATTTTATATGTACAAATGTTCATCCTTGGAAAGGGTATATACTTTTTCGCGATCAGGTAATTTCATATATGTCCTTTTTTACCAAATTTAAAGATTCACAAAATTTTCATGCATTTTCGTGAAATTTTTCTAATTTATGAGAAAAAAGCAGTGTACATGGATATAGTGAAGAGTGTGCACAATGCCATTTTTGTGCAATTCTGGGATGTTTTTTTAAGTAAAAATAAGTCGACGTGTACATGGTTTAATTATATTTTAATTAAATGATAGTTATTTTGTGAATTATATGTTTGTAGCAATTTGGTATATGTTTCAGTGGAAGTAAACATGCATGGAAATAATTTAAATATTTGACACTAAGTATTTGTAACCATTTTTAATGTTTGCATTAGAAATTCGTTGGTGACATTTATAAGAGATAATTTAGAGGTAAAAGTTTTTGGATATTTTATTTATGTTATACGTGGAAATGTTCATCGTTGGAAAGGGTATATACTTTTTCGCGATCATGTAATTTCATATATGTCCTTTTTACCGAATTTAAAGATTCACAAAATTTTCATGCATTTTCGTGAAATGTTTCTAATTTATGAGAAAAAAGCAGTGTACATGGATATAGTGAAGAGTGTGCGCAATGCCATTTTTATGCAATTGTGGGATGTTTTTTTAAGTAAAAATAAGTCGATGTGTACATGGTTACTGTGTATGTGCGATTCTGAAAAACGCGGCAAGGAGTTTGCGATTCTGGACTTTTTCCCAATTTTGCAGTTAATATTTGTCTTGATTAAGCAGTTTTGTTCCATAAAATTTCTAACATAAGTGTAATTCGGCTAGCAGATTGTTGGAAAAAGTGTTGAGTAAATAAAAAGAAAAGAAACATGTCTTTTACTTCGTGAAGACAAAATGGCCGCAAAAAAAAAAAAAAAAAAAGAAAAGCGAAAAAAAATAGAGGGTTGCTGTAGCAGAGTTTGTCACCAAATTTTCGCCAAAAAATCGCCAAGTTACCATAATCCAAAGATTAACCCAAAATGAAATTCTGTGGAAATGTTAGAATTTCTGCTAAAAATATAATTTGTGAATGTTGTGGATGAAATGGCTGTAATGTATTCAATGGCTAAAAAAACAAGTCGTTGGCCTACGGCTATTTTTTATTACAAGATGAATGTTGCTGCAATAAATGCAAGCATAATTTTGTTTTCGACAAAGAAACCATCTACTGGGCATCAAGCCTGATACTCATTTCTAAAAACACTGCCATTTCAGCTGATAGAAGATTATAAGAAGTCAACAAGCAATGCTACTACAAAGCCTAAAAGTAAAATTTGGCAAAAATGAGGCCGATACACCTCCTGCTAAGAAAGTTAAAGACGACATATCAAAGATGTGCTGAATGCAGCGCCAAAAAAGACAGGAAAACTAAGTTTGTGAAAAATGTGAAAAACGTGCATACATGGAACATGTAGCATGCATTTGCCGAAAATTTGCAAATTAAAGGTACAATTTTTAATACGGTACAAAGTCTTTAATCTGGACTGATCTATAATCCGGACCTCAAAGCTACAAACTTTATGTTTGTTTACGAATAATATGTTTACACATGCGCGTAAAGAAAAGAGATACTGTTTATAGAAGATAGAATTAAACAGAATGTATTAGCACAAAAAATTGAAGCAACTTAAATTTACATTGAAAGAAATGTTTAATAAAGTAAACAAATAAATATTAAGTCTTTTTTTTTTTTTTTTTTTTTTTTTTTTTGTAAATTTTTGATACCCTTTAGATAATAATTGCTCTTTATTTCATAAATTATGGTTTTATATTTTTAATTGTATAATTTCTGCATGCCATCTTACCAGATTTAAATTGATAATCTATAATCCGGAAAAAACCTTAATCTGGAACAGCCAAAGTCCCGGATTACGGACTTTGTACTGTGTATGTTTAAAACTAAGTTTTCTCTTCCATGTTTCTGTTCTTTTATATTTTGTGTAGATTTAATGGTAAAAGAGAGGAAAAAATCGCCCTGGGTAAGTCAGCTCCCGTTCGTTTTTCTCGTGCGAGTAATGTCGGGTTAATCTTCCGAGTATTTCACATAAGTCTGAAATATATTATTGTAAAATGTTAATTTATATATTAACACATACCTTCAAAAGAAGAGTTTCTGGGATCTTTGATCGGCATTCCTGTGTTGCAGATGAAAGTTCTACCCCATCTCTCTGTATTGAAGCTCTAACAGTGATCGGCGAAGGTGATCTAAATACTGTAACTGTCACACTATATATTTGCCCTGGACGAACTGTTTTGGAAGCTGTAATAAAGTAAGATCTAAAAAGAGAAAATAAATGTACACAATCTGTTTAAAAGAAAAAAAAAAAAAAAATATTTTGAGAAGTTAATGAAAGGGCATAAAGTTCAGAACAGTAAAAACTTAATGCATGTACAGCAAAATATTTTTAGCATATAAAATCAAATGCTAACAAAATGACAAATAAGCCATCTAACACTTCTCAGACAAAATCACATTTATTTTTTTCATGGATTGTTATACAAAACTTTTAACAGGCAGGTAGATTATATTGTTAAATATTGAGAGTTATTTTAGATTTCATTCTTAGCAAAACAAATCGTATAGTAAAGTATTTCAGCAATTTTTCTCATAGATGACATAAATACAAACCAGCTTTCTTGAGATGGTTCACCATGAGTACAACCATCCCTGAATAATAGCCAGCGCATGTTTGTATATTACACAGTTCTTACAGTCATGCATTTTAATGGTATTAAATTACAGTTGATAAATGACACAGCATATAAGATATAAAGCATTTTTTAAAAGAAAACCTTGTAAATTTATCATTAATGTATTCACAGGTATTTTATTTAATATAATTTTGTCAATACATATGGTCAAGTTTACTGTGTTATAATTGTGTAATTTATTAGAATTTTATTTTTACGCATTCTTAATTATGAATCGTTTGCAAATTATACAGTCACCGCTGAATATTTCATTAATGGAAGGGTCAATTGATCGCTATGAAACATCATCTCACTTAAAAATATATCAAATTTGACATGCATAGCGCCACACAATTACACTTAATTTACTCCTTCCCAAGCATCCAAAAAACTGTGCTGCCATCTACTGGAAAGAAATGTAAGTTACGTAATTTCTTTTTGTTTTAATTTACCTGAGGAAAACTACCAGAAAAAAAGTAATCCTGATAATGTATTTTATCAAAGCTCTTCTTAAACAAATGAGGTGTAATTTCCTATTTTCCAATGTAATAAATTTTTATAAATTTAAAATATAAAACTTTAAGAAACAGCAGTTTATCAGATATAAAATTGAAATAATATAATCTTACCAATAATTAAATTGAATTAGTTTAATTTATCTAAGGAAAACCATAGTACTTCTGGTAATGTACTTTATCAAAGCTTTTAATTTAAAATATAAAGATGTAAGCAGTTCATCATATATATAATTTGATACACACAACGACGCATAAAGAATGCAAGTGAGGCAAAGAATATTTAAATAAAAAACTAACTGCCCCGGGTGAGGATCGAACTCACGACCTTCAGATTACTCAGATGAGCGATTATGAGACTGACGCGCTGCCTACTGCGCTACCGAGGCCTATTGAAAGGTGCCTTTTAATTATACATGAATACACAAAAAAATTACTTATTATTTTTATTTTAAACATGAGATTTATTTGTTGCGTCATCGATCACAATTCATATCAGAAGGAAATAATACGTAATATCAGAAGTCATCGGAAGGCTGAACTGAAAAATTCTAAAGATGTGGTGCTTTGCCGCCTGTTTAAAATACGTTTTTGGTCTGCGAAATTTCACTCCCTTTCTCTCATATTTGTTTGGTTCAGTATCAATGCATTTACACAAATATTTTAAAAGTATTCGTTCATCCGTAACACTACTTTTGTAAAAGATGTAGGCGAACACTAGATGGCGACTCTGTACCTCCTCTTAATTCCAACCAAAGAACCTCTCGAAACACCTTTGCTCTCGGTGAATCTGCATTGATAATTGGGCTGGCAGTGGACACTTCTGGGAGGTCGGAAAAAGTTGCATAAGCAGGATTTTCTTTTCTATTGAATTTATTGTAGATTTTATACTACATTGAGTAAAATCTTTTTTAAGTAATTTTGTAGTTCTACTTATAAGTTCATTTTAGTATTTAATAAGTCGAAAATTGCAATTTTCGATTTTTGATGAATGATTGAATTATATACTACCCGCCAATCTTGTAATTCACGTGTTATAAAAGGCTTCTGATTAATTAACTTCGGTGATTTACTGTTTGTTATCCGTTTTGTTCCAAGTATATTATTGAACTGTAAACGAATGTATTATTTAATAAAACTAACATCAATGGGTACGTTGAAATTTGGTCAAAAATGTAACTATACCATAGTTCCCGATTCTCCCGGCTTTGCCTAGCGTTTAATCGTCCTTTATTTTTAGCCTTTACTAAGTGAAGTGTTTTTTAGCAATGAATGAAATTCATTGAAATGATGGAGGCATGTAAAATTGTACAGATTTCATTCCCCCACTTCAAGCGATTTTCAGAATAATATTTCTTGTGAAATTTTGATCTGAATTATTTCAATAGGCTGCCAATATTTATTTTATATAATAATTCAACCAATGTTTAATTAGTTAATATATCTATTTAATTTTATTTACATCAATATAGGTACATTATGAAGTTATCCACACAATAGTATGTATGTTAACCCATATAGCACATTTAGTTGCTATGACGTTGCAATACGACATCTCAATGTTACATTGTCTTCACATTACATTTGTGACCACGGTACAACGTCGCAAACGTGTCTCATTGCGATGTGGATGTCGCACGGACGTCATATACACGTCGCAGCAAATATCTAACGAGACCACAAGAAATTTCTATCTCCCCCCACCTTGACCTTGCTCACGTAATTCTTCATTAATGGGAGGTATTCGTGCGCGCTGACCTTGCCCTTCCGATTCATTTTTAAGTGTTTCAATAAACCTTTCTAATAAATTATTTTTTATGCTAATAACGTGCAATTTTAATTATTTCATTTTATTAAAAATATTGACACTTTATAGCATGTTTTTTATAGATGTGATACTTAGAAATCGGTGAACTATATTCGGTGGTGAATTAATTCACATTCTACCGTACCGTGTTGTCAAGAGAGACTGAGTTTGTTGTTTGTATAGCATTTGTTTGTCTTGAGGATTTTCGCGAAATTTTTTTTTTTAGTTCTGTTCGCTGGACATGTAATTACTGCTTAAATTTTCAGGTAAACACTGTTTATTGATGTGAATGATATCAGTAATATGTAATATATAATAATAAAAACTTAATTTAAATGCTATAAACAAAAAGAAATAATAAGCTGACAATTAAGTAACTTTTATTTGCATTACAAAGAGTGCAGAAGCTAGGCATTATCAAAAGTTTAATCACATTTTTGTCTCACTACTTGGAAATTTTAATTTAGAGCGTCAATTTTATTTGGTAGATGTAATTCACTTTTTGTGCTTTTAAAATGTTAAATGATGTGTTTATTTTATTGAAGTACTTTCATCATGTTCAGTTGTTTTTTGAAATTATTCACAAAATAATTACTTACTTCCATGCGTGGTACTTAGCGCGGCATTACAAATGATGCCATACTTCCATAACCATGTTCTAATTATATAGAATAGGTTTTTTAATTATTATAAGTTTACAAATGACGTATTACTTTAAAATGCTGAACTTTTACTACATGTTTCCTTTATGAAAATTTCTAAGAATTATTTTAAAAATATATTATATCTTTTCTTTTCAAAAATTATGTCACACTTTTATGTGTAATGTATTTAATTTGTTTTGTTAAATTTCCTTACTAAGAGATTTAGTTAGAGAAAAATATTTTCTAGTTTAGGTTAGGTTATTTGAATATGGAAACACGAGGGCCGCCTACCTAAGAGAAGGGATGCCTTTGTGGAGGACTTTTTAAAGGCAAACTAGCTCGTTTCACTTTACATATTGAGAAAAACATGAAAGCCAATCGCGTAAAAGTATTTGCTACTTAAGAGATTAAGAGAATATAATTATGGTATTAATTTTTTAAATAGATACATAAATTATTTAAACTCTGAAAATAAGGAAATTGCATTTCATCGTTATTTATATATGAAAGAAGTTAAAATCTCACTTGTGACAAAAGAGTATAAATTAATATTAATTTGTCTCTAACAGTAAGAGTTACTTCATTTTATAAAGAAACCGAATTTCAAATTGTATTTTAAGGAAATTTTATAAATGTTATGAAAATTACTATAAATCGAAATGTATATTTAAGTTCCACCGGTAAACTTTATTTGAAATAATTTTATTTCAAATTAATTTATTTCACTTCTGCAAACAAGATATTTTAGTTTGTTATTAGAAATTTAAAATTGACATCTAACCCTCTGCTTACATCTAATTTAATTATCTAACCTAATCACATCTATTTGTGCTTTAACATATAACTTGCAGAAATAGACAAAGAAAAGATAATAATTTTTGCAATCGTATTTAAAAAGTTTAGAAAAATTAAGAATGAAATCTTTCACAAAGGAATTTTAAAATTTCATTGTGATAACTTGGAAATTCGCATATTATAAAACATTGATTCATTAAAGAAGTCTTTGCCACCATATAAACACAAAAAAAAAAAAAAAAAAACTGATTTTAAGGTAAAATATAATGGCTAATCTTTGGAATATGGTAACAGATAGTTTGGCGACATTTTGGTAAGGCGATAAAGGTTACCAGCTAGGACTTTAGCAATGTACATGGATAAAGTCAAGAGTGTGTGCAATGCCATTTTTGTGCAATTCTGGGATGTTTTTTTAAGTGAAAATAGGTCGACGTGTACATGGTTACTGTGTATGTGCAATTCCTAAAAACACGGCAAGCAGTTTGCGATTCTGCACTTTCTCCCAATTTCGCACCTAATCTTCGTCATGATTAAGCACTTTTGTTCCATAAAAGTTCTAGAATAAGTGTAATTCGGCTAGCAGATTGTTGTAAAAAAATGTTGAGGGGGGAAAAAAAAAATGCTTTTACTTCGTGAAAACAAAATGGCGTCCTAACAAAAACTAGCAGGTTGCTGTAGCAGGGTTGGCTGCCAAATTTTTGCCAAAAAATCGCCAAGTTACCATAATCGAAAGATTAACCAATATAACTTCTTGGAATTCTTTTATTTGGACAGGCCTCTGTTCTTTGCCCCATTTAAATAAACAAATAAATTTCTTTGGAAAATTGTTTATAGCAGAAAGCCGATTCGTGAGGGTCAATCGAAGGATCTGAAATCTCTGTATAATTGCGCTGCCTTTTACTGTAGGACAAACAAATATTTCTTTTAATGTAAGAGGAGTTTTATATTTTCATCATTTTTTAAATTTTAACAAAAATTGTAACTTTATTCCTACAAAATTAAGTATTGGAATTACTTTTATTTTCGAAAATGCAGCCAATTTGCATTTGAACTTAAGTAAATAATTGAAATTTAGTTTTAATTGTGTTGATTCTAAAATGACAGGCACGTGTTTTCATACTTACTATGCTAAAAGTAAATTATAAAAACTATTTTTTATATTAAAGAAATCAAATAATTTATTTCTCTTCAATTAAAAGGAAAGGGAAATGTTCTAGTTAAAAAAACAATAGAATGAATACTAAAATATGTATTGATGCCTTTTTTGACACTTCAGTTTGAAATCATTTCTGATTCAAATGAAAACTTTAAAGAAAGTCAAGTTTAAAGGAAAAAGAAGTATTTTAAAGAACGAAACGAATAAAAGTACATCAGAGCCTTGTCATCAGATTTTAATATTTGAAACTAATCTCATAACTGCTTCTCCTAAACATTTTATTACCTTCCATATCCTTATTTATGCAGTATTCGTGTCCTGTTACTGGCAAGTGCTTGATTCGCCCAAAAACGGTACAGTGTGTTGTATAGATTCATTTAGATTAAATTATTAACTTTTTGAAAGTATGTGTTGTAAAATATAATATCCTCACATTATTTAAATCAAATATAAAA